AGCAAACTTGAAAGCAATGACATACCAGTAGGAGCCGCAATAGGGGCAACTGTAGAAGTGGGCTTCTGCGCGAATGAATCGGGAACGGCAGCTTGAGTAGCAGGAGGAAGCGAGGTCCGAGGATGAGTGATAGGCGAGTCGGCAGGAGGTTGTGCTCTAGTCTCGGGCTCCTCTCGGTCGCCGTCAATATCTTCATCGCCATTCAGACTGAAGGCTCCGAATTGAACAGCAGCTCGGTCAACCTCCCGGTTGCCAGGCATACGCACAGCTTCTTCCTGATCGAGGACACGGCGCTGGTGGTGATGATGGCTGGGAGTACGGGTGGTTCGCTCGGCCGTAGCTTTAGCAGCGGTGGCAGCGAATCCGCTGGGAGGGGCGGCATGCTGCTGCTGAGCAGCAGAAATGGGTGTAGCAGTAACACTGGCAGGGTTCTGTCGAGGGTCCCAAGAGTCAGCGGCGGTGCTTGCTACAGTACCAGTCGGAGGCGGTTTGGATTCGTCAACAACCTGTTCAAGATTTGATTCGGTGAGCTCATCCTTGGAGGGGGGAAGAGCCACCTCGGGCTCTACATTAACGTGAGGAACTTCGGCGGGAGTAGCGGTATCGGCAACGGGTGTAGTTTCATCAGCTTCGTCGACGGCGGGGGCAGGTACGGTTTCAGGCTCGGCCTCGGGCACGGCCTCAGCCTCGGGTTCGAGAGGTTCGGGGGCAGATTCAGTTTCAGCGTGTTCGACAGCTGGCTGAGGAGCAGCAGAAGCTTCTTTTGGCTTGGGCGGGGCCTTGGGAGGAGCGGACTGGCGCAGCATGCTTGCCCAGGTCTTCACTGCGGGAGCAGCAGGCTTAGGTGCCTCTGCTGTCGCAGATGGGGCAGGTTGTTCAGCAATGGGTTGGTTCTCCTCTGAGGTATCCTTCTTGGGTTCCTTAGTGCCCCAAGCAGATGACTCCTCTGTGGGAACAGACAAGGCTGAGCTGTCCTTGGTACCAGCACCGTTAGTGGGAGCAACAGCGGATCGGCCACGTGTGCTACGGCCTCCTCGATCTGTAGCTCGGCCTCGACCACGACCTCCCTCAGATACAGCTCGGCCACCACGAGTGGCTCGGGGCCCAGTAGACGTCGCGTCGTTCGAAGATGCGGGAGCTTGGTCCTTCGCCTTAGCTCGGGAAGCCTTCTTGGGCTTCGAGACCTCACCCCATTGAGAGATTGTTCCTAGAAGAGAGCACGTGTTAGCAGCAGAAATAGACGGCATGAGGTCACAGGGGCGGTGGGGAGTTGATGCGCAGCTATCTCGAACAGATTGCACGTGTGTAGCGTGGGCGCGAGGGGTGGACTGAGGTTGAGGTGGGCAAAGAGCGTAACATACCCTCAGCAATGCGGGTGACGGCTTCGTTCTCGTCGCCATTGGTTTCCTGAAGAGCAAAAAGGACATCCGCCTCAGACCAGTCGGGGAACATCTCGCGAATCACCGAAGTCTTGTCGCCATATTGCTTTCGAAGCTCGCCAAAGTCTCCTTCATCTTCGAATGCACCTTGGGAATCAGCGGTGCTGTGGTCGGGCTTGTCGCCATTGGTTCGTCGGCCGCCGCGACCGGCGAAACCTCCTCTACCACCACGGCCAGAGCCTCTGCCACGCGAGGCGGACGTCCGTGAAGTCACTTCGGACATTAGATGGGTTGTGGTTGATTATGTGTTGGATGTGTGTGCGTGCGTGTTGTGCGGGAGGAGAGCTATGGAGGCTCAAACTCAAAGTGTGGAGAGGAAATCAATGGAAGAAAAAAGGAAGCGGCCTGTCAGCTGTCCTCTGCGGGAACAACAGGCAGGTTGAAGGACAAAGTCGACCGTGAATCCGTGGTCGACAGATGAGGGCGTCGATGATGAATGGAGAAGAGAGGAAAGAGTTTATTGTGGTTTGGTTGGTGCTAGTCAAAGGGAGAGGAGGAGGAGACGGGACGAGGTTTTCCCCAGAAGCAAAGCAGAAGAAATGGAGCCTTGGGCTTGCGTTTACGTTCAGGGCACTCAGCACTCCGTCAGTCAGTGGCAGTGGAGGAGGTGGAGGCTACGAAGGTTTTGCCTCTAGCGGCTGGTCACCACTGTGATTCTTCAGGCCTCTTTGGCCCCCTGAGAGACACGTCTACGCTATATCTCAGCCCTCTTACAGTAGCTCAATAGGTGCTCCCGCGCTGCGCTGAACACCCTAACAAAAACGTCCAAGAATCTAAAACATTCAATTCGTCCAATTGAAAACGTCCGACGTCGACACTTTGCCCTGGCCGGAAGCAGATCGACCTAACTATTGGAGACTGTTTGCCAGGTGGCGTCAGTACCTTAACGGCATGACCGCAAGTACAGTTACTTGCTCGATGTATAGCTGTCCTTTGCCGTCTCTGTGTCACTCGGTACCTCGAGTGTCAGAGCCTTGACCTTCCCTTGGTCGCTTAGCCCCAAGTTCAACCAAGGATCTTGGAGTTTGGAGCTCGCCGTGTTCGGGCCCCTGCGAGTAGCCCACACGAGCACGTAACAAAGAATCGGACTTGGACTTGAAATGTTGGAGAAGGACGTCACATTCGCATTTCAGGGACAGGGACTTGCCTATCAGATGCTTCATGCGGAGAATCAAGCATAACGATAATATATGTCCCTACATGAGCTTTTCCATCACCGCTCTTTTCTCAGATGCGCCGAGTCTCATTGAGACGCAATTGGTGGTTACATGTAGGTAAGATAATCAAGCGCCATCCCTCAATACATTGAAAATGGTGGTTTGAGAATGCAGCACCTGAATATTCGGTTGTCAGCACTCACCCGTCAGCTGTGAGGCTCCTGTCAGGTACCCTTCAAATATTATGTACTAGTACTTTTCGAACGACCGCATCTAGCGCTCAAAAGGAATGAGCTAGATCACCATCGAAGTCTCAGTACACCAGACAAGACCAAATTTCAAGCCAGGGGCTGCTGCAACACAAGCACGCTTAGCGCAGTCGGGCTGTGTCCACTCAAGCTCCCTCCACTCCTTGCTTTGCATGTCCATTCGCAATTCATAGTCACGTTTTTGTGTTCATATCTCGCCTTCTATCGGAGGTAAATGGCAGGAATAGCTTTCCGTACTAGCCACTCATACCCAGGGATTAATAGAGGTCGCTATACAGAGGTATTTTGAGAAAAGTATAGCATGACGAGTAAGGGATAAGCAGGGATGTTTTTTTTATGGTGCCTCTTAAGAGCCAAACAGTGGTGGCTTTCCCCATGTTTATGATTGAGCCACCCGAGGCTGGAAGCCCCTTGCATCACATGATACGTCTCAGCGGCCCGCTTTGTGGCGCAACTCGTTCGACGATGGCATCATGCTAGGCTCAACCTCAGAACGCATGACCTGAACCCGTCAACACCAACCCCACTCCACATTGCCTTCCTAACGATCCCTTGCACCCCTACAACCCTTCGGCATCCGCGAGGGCAGGGTTTGCCAATAATACAACCGCTTACCAGACTCAATTACTCTCTAGCCCGCCATGTTCACAACAAAGTCGGTTCAGTCACTCAAGAATCTGTTCGCATCCTATCACGAACCCCTACCCTTGTCGAAACAGCAATCTCAAAAGCTTCTTGACGGTCTCAAGACTTCCTTTCGAAAACAGCTCGATCGCGAATATGGAGAGAGCTCCAATAGTTCATTGCCGACTGCCGCGAAACCTGTAGATGTCGATCCTACCCGATTATCTGCTACAAACCGCCATTTGAAAGATATCTTATCGAACCCGCTGTTCAGCTACAACAAAGATGTCACATCGACGTTTCCTTCAAGCCTATCATCCCCTTCTTTGGTTGCACCAACACGGGATCCTATAGAGGTTTTTGACCATGCCGTAGCTCGAGGATTGATGACACCCAAGGCCGCCATCGGTGTGATGGTCGCCAAAGCAAAGCAGCTCCAAGCAAACGAGCCAGGCCTTGGGAGTCTAGCTACATCGGGGATGTCAGGGCGCATCATAAGATGGCTACGAGCTTGCGGTGCTGAGCAGGATCTACGATTTATGGACAATTATACTTTTATTAGAGCGTTGTCTCCGTTCCTGGTGGCAGAAGGCATGGAGGAGATTGCTTGGGAATGGCTTGTGCGGACAATCAACAACACCTCTGGAGACCTGCCAAAGGAGAAGCGTCTCAGGAGAGCGTCTAATTTACTTGGGGAACTTGTCAAGACAAAGTGTCAGCCTCAGTATGGCAACCTTGATTCAGGCATCTCTACCATGTTACAAGCGCAGCAACTTTTCCAGGCAAGCCCGCTACTATCAGATCTTCTAGTCTCATCATGGAGATCAGTTTCATGGCTCTCGACCGTCGAGTCCTACAGTCGACCCGCTCCATCAGAAGAACTCTTTGATGCTCATATCGCTACGGCTGATCGTCTGCCACAACCTTTTCTTCTGGAGCGTGCTCATTTGCACCTTTACCACCCCACGCATCCCGATCACCTTCCTGCTCTGAACTTCTTTAAAGACAAGCAAAGACTACGAAAGCTAGTGAATACTGTTGAGCCCAAGAGGCTGAAGCCAGATAAACTAAGCACTGTATCATGGCTCGCCTTCTTAGGCCACGACACAGTCAACCACTTGACCCAGTCTGGAAGAACTCAAGAAGCGCAGGGAGTTACGGAACTATTACAGGCAGAAGTAGCCAGCCTTTTTAACGACAAATCTGAACCCGCCCTCGGGTCTTGAAGAGCGAAGGAGTGGACGAAGGCGAGTATGAATCAGATTTTTGGGACATTCACAGGTTTATCATGTACAACAATGGAATCACAGCGATACATAGGGAGTTGGTTATAACGATACCACGATGGAGTTACATGAGACTATCAGGCGAAAGCGTGTCAATTTGCATAAATAAGGCTATTTCAAAAATCTTCATTATCAAATAGACTTTAAATTATTGCAGTGCTTTTAAGTCCTGGTATCTATCGTTGCAACGAAATGCAAGTATCAATCTCTATTTTCAGATCGCTTTTATTCAGAGTCGCTCTCAGCTGCATCAGGTGAAAAGCCTTGGAACTCCTCATCGTCTGGCGCAGCTCCTTCGCCAGCGTCTTCATCATCATCCTCCTCCTCTTCAATCTCAAAGGCACCGGAGATATCCCATCGGTCACCCTTCGCGCTCTTGCTGACGTATTTGACGAACTTGAGGGCACCGCTATCGCGCATGACAATAGTCATCTTGTTCCATGACGCGGCTTGGAAGAAGAGAATGTTGTCGTCGTCATCGCCTGTCTTATATACAGCTGCATCTTCATCGGCGTCATCGTCGCCGGACATGAAGATTTCTTGGCCACCGACTTCAGGTGTTTCCCCCTCCTCCTTGTTCTTTTTCTCGGCAGCCTTGGCTTTGCCCTTTCCTTTACTCTTTATATCCTCGCCGTTCTGATCTTCGGCTTCTTCCTCGGCATCCTCTTCCTCATCATCGCCCCAGCCAGATGTAGGCGTGAATCCGAGGTTGATCTCTACGCGCGCCTTGCCCTCGTGCCCAGTAGCGAGAGTATAGTCGAGACCGCGGCGGAAACGACGCGCGAGGAGATCAGCACTCTCGATGGTGGTTTTGGTGGCCATTTGAAGCCATTGGCGGAACTGACGACTGGGCAGGAAGATGTCGAGAAGCTCAGTGATGGGGGATTCCTCCTGTGAGGTGCGAAGCTGATCAGGTCCGCTGGGTTGTTGGTAGAGATATCGTGCCTTGTGTGGAGGCTTGGCTACACGCCATGAAGTCGTCTTTTCTATCGTAGCAGTATCTTCTTGTGTGGGTTTCTTCTCCTCAGCCTCAACGTAGTCCCTCAAGCGCTGAGCAAACTTCTTGCCCAGAATATCTGGCAAGGTAATCTCAAACATCTCGTTGAAAGTCTCGGAGATCTCTTCCAAGGCATCAGGAACCAGGTACGCAGGTGAGATGTACTTGAGCAGAAACTCAAGATCAGCTTCGTCGAAGCCCTCTTGGCTGGCCTTGTCGACCTTCATGACCTGAGGCTGAGGCATGTCATATTGAGCAGGATTGCCCTGGAGTTGCATTAGGCCGCTGTTCTTGGCATTTCTCTCCTCCTCTCCCTCGATGTAGCCCTCCTCTCCAATCTGGGGAATATGAAACCATCCACTAATAGCCATGCGAATTCGGCCACCGTCCTTCTCTAGCTGCTCCTTGGTTTCGGCGCGGTAGACCTCCTCCACGTCGTGGAAACTCTCTCCAGGCTGGACAGCGAAGAAGCTCAGCTGGTTCCACGCAGGTGGGATGACCTTTGTAACGTCAGGAAGCGGTGTCTTTGCGACCTCGCCCTCCTTGTCCTTGAGCTCCTGTACGGGGAACAGACGGAGTGCGCCACCCCATTCGGGCTTCCAGGGCGTGTCGGGGTCAACGAGGTAGAGGATATAGCTAACGCGACGGCTACCAATGACATCGTCATGGCAAAGGAGGTAGCAGCCGGGAGTATAGATGTTGATAGCCATGTCAGTCTTGCGACCGCTCAATGGGCCGCAGTTGGTAATGTGAGAGACATAGTTGCGGAAGGCTTCGGAGTAGATAGCATCGCGAAGCTTGAGCAGCGAAGGCAGCTTAGCCAGAGACTCGTCGTCTAGACCGTCGAGGTTGGCCAGGTCGCCTGACTGGTGGATCTTGTAGATATCGGTCTCCTTGGGTGTAAACTCGACGTTGGTCTTGATCTCGCTGCGAACCGATCGAAGGAGAGAATCGTCAACCAGGCCGTTGATGACGGCATGCTTATAAGGTTCTGACTGAGCATACTGATCCGTATACGAATTGAGGACGTTCTTGTCGAAAAGGCCAGCGCGAAACCGCTTCTGAGCTTCCTCTGCGCTCAAAGCTGAAAAAGTTCGGTGAGTGGAAGGTCGCGAAAGAGCGATTGGCGGTGCTTACAAGGCTTGGACTTTTTTTTGTTGGCCTTGGAGGCTCCAACAGCTGCTTCCGCTTTTCTCTTCATAATGGCTCACGCAATTGGCTTGATTTCCAGAAGTTGTGCGAGGTGAGAGGGCTTTTGCTGTAGATAAATTGAGGACACGAGAGAAGGAGTGAAAGTTGTGCGAAGTCGCAACGCAAAGAATGGGCTGACGTCGCCAATATTTAAAAATTTGGCTCCGAAAATCGACCCATTCTATGGATGGAAGCGTATGAGCCGCATGTACGTTGCCGATACTACAGGGCCGAGATTTATAGCCACAGGCCACAGCATTTATTTAATATCAACTGTATATGTCAGTCAGACTGAGTGTTTCAGTTTCACTCAGTCGAATCTAAAATTATCATGTTTCAATTGTAGTCAATCCTGCTGTTTATTGACCAACTTTTCCTCATGAACCAGTCATGGGCGCTAAGGGGAGCAGCCATGATGATGGGCCGATGGTGGACCTTATCTGGTCACTGGCTGGAGCCAGCATGATGCATAAAGGTTGTGTAGTGCTATGCATGTACGCGCCGGTTCAACTCTAATCGAGTAAGAATTTCTAGAGATGTCAAGTATGTGATACTATTTCGCGACCTAAGACATGAGCTAGAGTCGCATTGGTCAATTTCTGAACACATTATACGCCGTGGATTGCAGTATCACCTTACCCAAGACTCCCACGAGGCATCCATTATACTTTTTACAAGATCAGAGTAAGCGAGGAAACTCGAGGGAAATGTGAAGAGGTAACAAATTCTTTAACTCATGCTGCTCTCAACTATATTTGACTTCTCTGAATAGCCTTAGAGTTCCATGCAATCACCATCATGACCAGTCAAAGGAAAGAAGAAGGGCGGACAAAAGTACTGAAACAAGTCAGAAACTCTACAATAAAGGGACTTTATTCTGAAAACTCCCTCAACTTTTATATGTTCTTTCGTCTCTCATCATACCATCACTAAACTCCTGTCTATACCTATATCCACACGCATAGTACATCTCAGACTTACTTTGCACTTCGGGCATCAACGGCCTGTCGCAACTGGGCGATAACCTCAGAGGGGTCCTTGGCCCCAAAGACAGCACTGCCTGCAACGATGACATTGGCACCGGCGTCGGCAGCCTCGTCGATTGTCTTGGGTCCAAGACCACCGTCCACTTCAATATTGAGCTCGGGATACTTTTCCCGGAGGGCCTGGACCTTGGGTAATTCTGATGCCATGAACTTTTGACCGCCAAACCCAGGGTATACAGTCATGACTAGGACCATCTGTAGCTATATGTCAATTTGACATGTTTCATGGATACATCAGCGAGACTTACATCAGGTCTCTCCTTCTCGTCGCTATTCTCCAGAATCTCCCACAACACATCAACAGAAGTGTCAGGCTTAATAGCAATACCAGCCAGCAATCCCTGGTCGTGGATGTATCGGATAAGAGCCTTGGGGTTAGTCTTCTCGTCAGTCTGTTGCTCGGGGCTCTCGGCGGCACTGGAGAAGGCGGCCTCGTAGTGGAAGCAGTAGAGGTTGCAGCCAGCTTTCTTGAACTCCTTGACCCATTTCTTGGGCTATCATCCCGGTGTAAGCCAGACGTTGTGTATTCGCATTCGTAAAGGTATTCCTACCTCTGCAATCATCATATGACAATCAAAGGTGCCCCGGCCGTGGGCCTCTGTGGGCTGATCGACGTGTCCTCGGATGGATGCAACGACAGGAGGACCGAATGTAATGTTGGGAACAAAATGGCCATCCCTATTATGTCAGTAAAGTTCCCATTGCTTTACTACTCGCGACCTACATGATATCGACATGAAGCCAGTCTGCGCCCTGTTCCATAGTGCGGGCACAGTCATGGCCAAGCTGAGCAAAGTCAGCTGACAGAATAGAGGGAGCAATGATGGTCTTTGGAGCCATTGTTTGGAGTATACACGATCAAAGGAGGACTGTTGAAGAGTCACGTATGATGGTGGAGAGAGAATTGGTCTATCTTTTGGACCTCGTCGATGGTGGGGTTGTTTTCAATGCTCATCTCGTCCAGTGACGTACGGTTTTGGTGGGGTCATGCCAATGGAAGTTGATGTCCTTGTGCTTTGTGGGGGCCAGGGGCGTTTAAAGGTCATTGGAGGTTGTCAACAGAACCCGGGTCAGATTGACATGTTGGCTGCCTGTCATGGATTTATGTAGAGCTGTTGGTCTGTTCGCTGTTGAAGATGCATCAAACAACCAGGATGCAACTAACCTCCAATTGTGGTGCTGGTGTAAGCGCTTTGTGTTAACTCATGGAACGACGAAAAAGATGTTACACCCAACATCGAACTGAAATAGAAGCATGTTCCAGATCGAGAGCAGGTAGTATGGAATGTGTCTAAGAACGAGTTTTGATTGATATAAATTTATAAATCATCGCCAACAAGAGCGGCCGTGTGGCAACCACATCGTAGTATATGGCTTCAAACTCCATAAATTTGCATGCATAGAACAGAAAATCCCAATTTCTTTGCTTATTCCCAATTATATCCCTCCTCTTGACGATGAAACAACTTGAAACGAAATATAACTATTGTCCCTTACAGGGCAAAGAGCATAGCCATGACAACACCCAGGACACCAGCGGCGCCCTCACGCGCAGCAGCATTGCCGCTATCGCCACCAGCACTGCCAGTCGCCGGCGAGGTCTGGCTACTTCCAGCGCTGGAAGTGGGAGTGGTAGCACCAGTTGCGCTGCCCGAGGCGGCGTTCTTGTCGCATGTAACCTGGTCGGGAAGGTCGGTAACTCCGGCGGTCGAGCAGATCTGCTTAGCGTACTTGACGGCAGTGTCCCTACCGGCGGCATCGCACTTGTCCTCGAGACAGCATGCGATGCCAGAGAGGAAGTCCTTGTTGCTGCAGATGCACTTGACGTCGAGCTGGCCGCATCCAGCGACGCCGCCACCGGTGGTGTACTGGTCAACGCAGGGTTGCTATATAGACAGAAGAGATTAGCATCGTTGAATTGCGAGCGGTAAAGGCTGAAATGGGAATAATCAGCCGATGAGAGAGGTTTTGCGACGTACAGCGCATTTAGGGAGCTTCTCTTGCTGAGCGGCAACAAGGCCTGCCAGGAGGACTGATGTGAATACAGACAGCTTCATAATGAATACTCGACAGTAAAGATATTGTATAGATAATTGAAATCGAATGAATGTCAAGAAGAAAGAGTTTATCGGGTTTCACGTCCACGCGTCGTAGATTTAAAAAGACTCCTTAAGTGAGACAAGACAGTTTTACCCAGCTCTCACCAACGGCAACTAAGCTTACCCAGGAGCTACGCCCGTTATGTACTTTTGAGCACCCTGACCTACCTAAGTTGTAACCATGCTAGCGGGCCTTTCCTTTCGTAAACGCTCACGGTCCCAGAAGCGGCAAAATGTGTGAACCGTATCCGTAGTACCGTACCATTCCCCCAACTCAAATGATATGCAGATCACCAGCCAATCGCCACCTCTCCACGTGTTCTAGACCATTTCGGCAGATTAGACACCGGGACTGGTAGATAGAATCGGGTGAACCGACCCCGTGGGGACGATGATCAATACCCAAACATCTACAATAATTTCAATTGAAAACAAACTTGAACACGATGCATCGTTCTTGTTGTACTGTATGATACAAACACAACATGGGAGATGTGATCAACAAGGGTAGCAAGGTAGCTTGGTTTCAGAAAATATGTCTCAATACAAGCCACTTCATATCAATAGAACTTAGTCTCTTCCTGATCGTCGAGGGCGCTTTTAGAGCATACCAACCTTGGTGCAAGCACACCGAAAGGGGAAATTCATCATCAGGTACGTAAGGAATAGTCTACGAAGGCTTGGAGCAGAAGAACGTCTCGATCCTCCGGGAACGGTTGGCAATCGCTATTGATCCTTTAGCGTCTCAATTCATGCTTCTATCTTTGGGGTCCAGCCCTGTTATTCATAGGAAGTCTATCTCTGTTCAATATACGCCTCCGCCAATAGTTACTCGTGCTAGCTACAACCATCAGAACTTCCTATCATATCCTCTCCTACGGGCTGCAAGGTGCTCAGAGGGAACCTAGGGTGGCAGGTTGCATATTTGCATTTTGCATGACTGTCATATCAACCTACCCACTTTCAATATGCTCTTGGAAGTATAACCCGGCTCTTGGGCCACCACTTGTTGGGTCGGCATCAAACAAGGTTTGATGAAGCCAACGTCATGAGTAACGCGTTAGACCTTGTCAATTTAGTCTTTTTCATACTCTTTTGCCCTGTTTGAGAAGATCCGAAACTTTAGGAGGAAGCACAAGAGCACTCCTGTCGTTTCTGCGAAAAAAATCGACCAGCGAAAGGGCTGTTTTTTCCGGCAAATCTTCGTGAATGAAGTGGCCGGCCTCAGGGAACACTTGCAAGGCATATTTCCCTGTCGATCAATCAGTACACAGTGCTCAGAAAGCAGCATTAGGTGAACGGTTAACAAACCCTGCATCTGACCGATGGTCAACTCAGTGTCCAATCTGTCAGTACCAGCGAGCAGTAGGAGTTTTCCTCCCTTCGCTCCTAAGAACTTCTTGCTCAACCCTATAAACCAACCTTCCCAGTAAGGCTGTGTTGCGCCCAAGTTGGTCCGCCATCGCCACGGCCTTGTTGGGTCGTCGTTCTCGTTAAAGACGAGTAGCGCAGGAACAGATGTCCGAGCAGAAATGGAGTTTCGTATCGTCCGCGATCGGATGTGCCATTCGATACCTGCCTGCAGAGTTGCAAAGCCCAGCGGTCTCGTAGACAAGTAGGTGTGCATGCTTTGTAGAGCATCAATGGCGGAGCCTTCCACAACATCCAGCACAGCATACCCTAAAACTGACGTTCCTAGTCTACCGGACTTGGCCAGGTCAGTAACAACTGCTCCGCCTAAGGAGTGTCCCACGAGCACTATCGGGGGCATCTCTGACCAGGCCATCTCATTCTTTGTGAGCTGCACCATACTAAACAGATCCGAAGATAGAGTGTCCAGTCTCATGTCCAGCGCCTTGTCGCCTGGTGCGTTGGTTGACCCATGACCTCTACAGTCAACAGCCAGGATACCTGCTGTTGACAGCCGCTTCTTTATTTCGGAAGTAACAACAGCGAACGACAACCCGGATGATCCTGCACCATGATGCATCACAAACAGTGGCCCTTTTCCGACCGGTGAAGTGAGATAGGCGTGATAGAGTACTCCCGGTTCCTGCTCTGACTTCAGAGACAACTCGCGCTCAAAGTAGGTTGTCCAGGGGATCTGCTCCAGGGTCCTGCCGCGGGCGACTCTGTAGCCTGTCAGTCCCGCCATGTTTCACTTGATCAAAGTGCTGATTGGAAAGTACCCTTGAGGTCGAGCGAACAGCTTCTGGTTGGGCGATGGTATGATTGTTCCTGTCGAGGAGACGGACGAGGCGGACGAGGCTGAGGAAGAGTCATCGTCGACAGGCTCGGGCAACTCGGGGAGTACATCATTCTCGTGCTCCTCGTCGACCTCATCAAATGTATCGTTAGATATGCCGTATTTGGCCTTGGCCCATGCTCGCTGCAGGTCGCTCATGATAGATACGGTGTGTAGATGACGTAGGTTCCATTCGCACTGCCAATATGCAAAAGCAGATGCGAACGGCACGAGGCGCTGCTGGTGCTGACACTCGTTATAGCCTCTAACTTTCTACGAGCGACGTCGCTTTCGATCAGTACGAGCCGCAGCAGTAGTGTCTTTTGATGTCTTTAGCAACTGGTGATGATGGTCCGGCGATACCCACGTCAGCCAACCAGCACAACCCAAATCAATTTGCCTTTGCGAAGACTGGGGCATAGTGTGTGTCTTTCATACACACTGTACCTGCACGAAAATTGACAGCATATCTACAGTGCGGATGTGTCCTTCATGATCTCTATCCTTTCTTTCTCTTATTTCCTAAACCCCGTCATCAAATTGGTAGTGTATCCTGTAACAATGTTGTTCCATTACTTCCCTGAGCAAACCCGCCCTCTTTGTGAATGCAGACATGTCTTTCACTATGGAAAGCCATTTTGACCGGTCAGTGCTTAGTTGAGTCTCGAACAATAAGTTGATTGCATGGTATATACAGCCTCGGCTATCCCTAGTCTATCGTTTAATTCGATATTAACTGATCGAGGTGTCATCGTGAAATGCCCAAGCATCAATATTCTCACATCTCCATGTTCGATCAAGCCACCGTAAATTCCACATCTCTCCGGTCGAATGGCTAGACTACTATAAGCTTCTGGCCACACTGTTTTCTGATAGGGCTACAAAGTTCTGGTCTGGCGCCTCGCCTAGATCTTAGTTTCGACATATCTTGTCTACAGCATCATAGGTTCTTTCTTTAGATCTTGACGGGTCTGACACCCACCCATGTAGTAGCTCAACTTCTCCGACAGCCTGAGGGGCGACAGCTACAAAGCCCTCGTGGGGAGGTAAAGTGGAAAATCCTATCACGATGTCAAGATGTAGTAGAACTGGATGCTTTCCACGGTTATTTGCCCACCCCTCTTCTTTTGACCTAGGGAAGTATTGAACAGGCAGTTTATGCCATGGCAACTGACACCCAAATGTTCACGCTGGATAATCCGACTACCCTGTAGCCGATACCAATGCCTCGGAATTTTCGGAAGGGGAGACACTCGGCCGAGCAAGAAACTTCGCCTGCCCGAACCCCTGTCGGCAAAAGAAACAGGAACCTTGTTCGACACCCAATCAACCTGAACAGGTTTAGCAGCCCACCGTTCACCGTTCGAGTGCCTAATCTTGCTCAAGCGACTTCGCTGGCGCTCATCTAGCGGCTCCAAGATTCCATGTTCCTGCATCCCGGTCCGATATTGTGGTGCTGGCAAACGAGAACTCAATTTGAAATTCCCCTTCAGCATCTGTTGACTGCAGAGAGGAATGGATAACAAGCTAACTAAAGCAGCAAAGTGGCACAGGAGGAGACACAAAGAAAGCTAGAAACCTAGTGACAAATATTGAGGTCAAAGAAAGTACGTCACAGTGTTGTCATTGCATTTGTGATCAACATGACCTGAACTCTCATTCATTGGTTGCAGCGCGAGTATGTCTGTCTTCGGATATCGCAACCTCACTGATGTGGCCGGGATCACACAGATACTCGTAACTTCTTGAGTAGTTGTTGGCTGCGCAACCCAGGCCATTCACGTAGAAACTAGAATAATAGAATCTATGACCTTTACTAATTTTTAGTGCGCTGTTTCGATCTGAACACTGGCGGAGACGTACGAATAGACATCAGAAGAGGGGGTGGTGAATGAAATTCTGGTGTGGATTAGACTGTTCACAAACTAAAGTGTTGCTCTCATCAGAGCCTTTTCTTGATGCTTGTCAAGCTGCGTGAATCACTCAGAGAAGGTACCCAGATCTGGGCGGGTTGAGTAATGCCATGGTATGTACGTAGTAATGGGATGGTTGTGAATAAAAACGCTACTGGCATGAACTCGTAAACTGTGCAATCCCAGGGTGAAGACTTCTGGCCCCATTTCTTTTTTCTTTTTCGAAAAACTTCAACATGCAGGTCCTTAACAATGACACGACTCCAGTGGCTAGTATGGATGGGAGATACAATTTCAGAAGGCTGGGATCTCCGACTGCATGTGATTCAGGTCACAACTCTTCTCCTCAATTCATAGACCATGATGGACAAAAGCGTCTCTCGGATATTTTTGTAATAGTTCCAAGGGCGAGATCTGAGACTTGAGAGAGCCATCTCAGAGTGGCGCCGCCTTCAACAGCCTGGCGTAAAGATCTAGCGATCGTCGAATAAGATGAATCGGGAGTTTCGAGAGACAGAAGGCTCCTTTTAGCATTTCCCCGAACTCTCACCAACTTGACGGATTCAAATGGTGGGGGTGGCTTCTGAAAGTGAGTGAGTATGCCCCGACAATACGGATAACCTTCAAGTTAGTGGCATAACTATTGAGAGCCTTGAGAGCACATGACGGACTAGCTCAGAGCCGCTGCAATCGTCGCTATGTTTTCGCATCTGGATAATGTTTAAGAAGCTCCTGACATCTATCCCTAGAACTGCACATTGTGTAACACTTGCTGTTGGCATGGGGCACGGAAAATTGTTGGCCAATAACGATGTCAGTCAGTTGCTGCAAGGGCTTGGGTTTGTTATACAGGGGACACGCAACCTAGTCTCATTCTGATAACGGATTTCTTTCCACGCTGGGTGTCTGTGTGGAGTGTTGAGTGATAACTCATTCAGATACTTGGAAATGAAACCACAGTTGATTTGTGGCACGCTTGGTCGATGGACGGGTTTCCCCTGGAGTTGTCCTTGGTTAGAATAATTCTCTCCCTCCCAAGACACTGGATCTCGGCGCACGGTATCAAGCCACATTTCAAATTAAATTCCTGGAAGTTGGTAGGTTGGCCATCTGGGAAGATCCAGGGACCGAACCCTCCCCCACCAGATCGACGCGCAGTCAGACCCTGATGAACTTGGGGTTGGTTTTTCTGACCAGCCTGCCTATTCAATGTCATGGGTGTAACACAAATGATTCGATTATGGGGGGGCATTTTTGCTTTGAGCAAACTTTGACATTGTCAACCTGTTGTAAGGTGTCTAATGCAAGGCCATTATTGGGATGGGCCAATAGGAGTACTCGGACCTGAGACGTACATGGCTCCTCGTTATCTGAATGGCCAGCGTATAGAATCTCCGATGATTCAGCTGATGGTCGCTTCACGTAAATTGTTCAATAAGAAGCCTTTGGTATCTAGCGCCAAATACTCAGAGCATTGGGCTTCTGGAGAGGTTGTTTCAGTTGCAAAGATAGAGGCAGAGAAAAGCCCTGACATATTACCTGCCTCAGCTTTTTCGCAAGGTCTGACCGTCAGCCAGTCAGTGAATAGAACCACGTTGACGGACCAAAACTTCCATTATTACCAGACACAGTCTTCAAGAGGCTTGTCGCGGCACATGACCCGGAGCCCGTACCTTATGGGCCGCGCAAAAGAATGTGCTAATGTCAAGGAAATATTGCGTAGATCTGATCTGCTATTGGTGAGCCGGCACTTGACAAGGTTGGTGGAGAAAAAAAGCAGCTGAAGTGGAGAGGCTAAGGCGTAGCGCAGGTAAGATGGGCTTTCAGAGAGATCTGTGCACCCAAGGCAACCCCAGATAGGAAGTTCAGTGCACGTCAAGGTACGTGCACGTGCGGGAGGCTCGATTCCCGTCAATCAGTAAGTGGGTGGGCAGCCCCTCCCCTGCCAAGCTGGGTTTGGCTGAGGCAGGACTAACAGGAGACAGGAGGCAGGCCTTCTCCGCTGTAAGAGAAGCCTTGGGTTTTAGGCTTTTTGGTCCTCAACTCACAGCTTGCTTGAAACACCCGATCCAAGTCAATTCCGCTCGTCTCCTCTCAAGCCATTGCTCTCTGGTGCCTCCTAGCCCTTTGTCTATTGGCACTAATATTTCCGCAGACTTCGCCCCGTCGATTTAGCGCCGGGAGTATCCTCAGATCGACGTGAAGCCTCTGTCGGGAAGATCTTGAACTCTTTGGCCATCCCGAACTCATGATGACCCAGACACGGCATCACTTATTATATTTATTTGGAAGCAGACTTGCTCCCAAATATCCATTCGGCCCGCGTCTGCGTAAGCTTGCGCCCAGTCAACTCCCTTCCTTCCAGCACTACTGAAAAGGAGTGGCCCTCTTGCACCAAGACACCATTGGCATGGAACCTACCAAAACATCAGCTAGGTGGCGTCTATAAACACAACTGCATGTCTTTAGTTGCAGACATATTCTCAGGTTGATGTTGTGTGAAGGGTCAGGCTCGTATTGGTCTGTGATGTCCTCAGACCTCGTTGCCAATTTGAAGGAGGGGGCGCTGCTGGGAACAGGGGCCTTGCAATCAATTTGCGACAAGCTCCAACTTGGGCTACTCGCTCATTGAAACTCAGTCGCTGGAATCCTTAACTGAGTGCCAGTATTTCGGAGCTGCTGGCTTTGATGCCAGAGTACACAGTCGTCCTGCTCACCTGGCGACACCCACCAAAATTGAACATCAAGAGATCGGCAAATGGATACCTGCAGCGCTTACGGCGATAGACATTTGCCAAGCGAGGTTTCTTGTGATAATCTCGCGTGTGTGCGAAGCTGCAGAGCTGTCAGAGCACAGAGGGAAGCATTGGTGGCGCACAGACATACGACATCAACTTCGCTGAATAAGGAGGGTATTATACCCGAGTTGAGAACTGACCTGGCTCACTTAACGCACACTGAGTGGTTTTGCGTTCTGGCTGAACCTTGTTTTCCGACCCCGTTGCCGCATTGGGACTACCTTGCGGACTGATCAACAACTTTGCTTACCCACAATTTGATTGAAGCCAGGTTCAGCTGGGATGTTAATGGGTTTGTGTCACAATTTTTGGACTTTGCAGTTGGAGCGCAAAGGCCCCCAAGACACACCTATCAAGCCAAAATTGGCCCCATCTTGAAGATTCCCAAAATCGAACAGGAATATGAAAATCTGACTGATGATCCGCGTCTTGTCCGATTCTCAGTGCCATTTGTTCCCCAATTGGGCCAGGATATATACCGACAAAACCCGTTGACCTTTTGTAGCAACTTACTGTAATCTTTGCTTTTTGTCCCTCGCCAAATTCGGCCGACCCGCCCTGGACGTCAATGGCAAATAGATATCAAAACATGCACATATCAATCAGTAAGTGGAGAGAAGGGGTAACATCAACGAGCTGAGACGCATGTGC